CCTAAATGTCCATCAACTGATGAATGGATAAAGAAATTGTGGTTTATATACACTATGGAATACTACATGGCAATGAGAAAAAATGAAATATGGCCTTTTGTAGCAACGTGGATGGAACTGGAGAGTGTGATGCTAAGTGAAATAAGCCATACAGAGAAAGACAGATACCATATGGTTTCACTCTTATGTGGATCCTGAGAAACTTAACAGGAACCCATGGGGGAGGGGAAGGAAAAAAAAAGAGGTTAGAGTGGGAGAGAGCCAAAGCATAAGAGACTGTTGAGAACTGAGAGCAAACTGAGGGTTGATGGGGGGTGGGAGGGAGGAGAGGGTGGGTGATGGGTATTGAGGAGGGCACCTTTTGGGATGAGCACTGGGTGTTGTATGGAAACCAATTTGACAATAAATTTCATATATAAAAAATTTCATATATAAAAAAAAAAAAGAAAAAAAAAAGCTGAACAGGTACAAAAAGAGCCATTGATGACCAGATAGTCAAAGTCAGTTCGAAAACACTACTGTCTAAACTTACTAAGATACTACCAAAGACCTTTCCAAATGCATGGGAACCTAGAAAAGACATCAGGGAGATGATGTAACAGACTGAAGGATCTTCACAGCCCGTCATTTGGTCACAGGAACTATTAATAAGGGCTTCAAATTTTGATTTTTCATCGGTCAGCTGTCAGCTCGTTTAAAATGGCTGCAAAGGTCCCACCCTGGAGATTCTGAGTTATTGAGTCAGGGGCAGGGCCCAAGGAATCTGTATTTTAAGAAGCCCTCTTCAAGTGATTCTGGGGCACAAGGAAGTAAGAGATTCCCTGGTATACATGACTCAAACATGTTTGTCCTGCTAGGGCCTGGTACCACTTCAATCTGTCTGAACTTTTCAACCTAAACCGGTCATACTCGAAAGTGCCTGGGTACTTCCCGAAGCACAGATTCCTGCGGTGGGGATTACCCCATACAGGGAAATAGCTGCTGCCCACACCGGTACTAACAAGAGGAAGGACACTAACACCGCCGAATCATTTCAGCGGCTCCCAATTCTAAACCCGCGCTATGTTTTCTAATCTCTAACCGGCAGGCTTAACTTTCAGGAAGAAATTTAAATTCCTTCACAGATGTTTATACAGGGCCTGAGGGCTTCTTACCTCCCTAACGTAAGAGAGGATCGCCAACGGTGGGAGGAAACACGGGGTCGTAAAGAAGGGTAAGGTCGTGTGGTTTTACGCTCTCAACCTTTAGAACCTCCTCCCCTGTCTCTTCCCGTGACCTTGTCGGGACTCTGCGGGCCGGAGCGCTCGCCCTCCCAGTTCCTCCTCACCACCTCGCGGGCCCACTCTCCACAAGGCTCCCTGCTCCAGCTACCGGCTCCCTGAGGTCGGCCCCAGGCCTTTCCATGGGTCTCTCACTACTGCCTCTCCCCGAGTTTTCCCTCTCGGCCACGATTCACTCCACAAGCTTTGGCTTCATCCTCTCGTTGGCTCCGTATCGCCTCACCCGACAGGCCGTCAGGCTTTGTCTCGGGACCCCCAACTTTCCCTGAACCACGAGGTCGGGCCTGAGAGCTTCCAATTACACCTCGTCCGGTTCAACCTGGGCATCGCCCCTTCCTCCCAGCCCCGCGGCCCCCAACACTCCCAAGGCCCTCTCGGCCCAGCCAAGCGCTGCACCACTTCTTCCCTCCCCACGGTCGGCAGTCCTCCGCTCCCAAGACTCCCTCAAGCTTCACTTGCCTGCAACGACTGGAACTCTTAAAACTCCAGACGGTTGTCAAGCTCCAACCGGTTTCAGGCTCTCGCCCACGCCCGCTGTAAAGCCGGCTTCTCTTTGTCCCGCCCACACCTGATCCTAGCCAATCAGAAACCAGCGGCCGGCAAGCGAGGGTCCCGGCAGGGGCGTGCGTGTGCGCGGTGGGTGGGGCAGGTCCCGGATTGGCTGGGGATGACGCGCGCCGGCTGTGGCTCAGGGTCCCCGGCTCTCGCGTAGGGATAACGTCAGGGGTGAGAGTTCGCCGTGAGAAGTTCACGCGAGGACTCCAGCGTCCCTGGCTCTTAGGCTGGCGGGACCTCAGATTTCTCTCGCGTTTTTTCCCTCGTGCGGTGGCGGCTAACTCCGCGAAGGCTGTATCCCGAGCGCGGGCCTGGCGGGGACGGGCGTGAGGGGCTTCGGTCGCAGCCAGTTCTTGGGAGGCTCGGGGGAGGACGTTCCGGCTTTCACGGGCGCCGACGGCGGCGGGGCGACGGAGCGCTTGATCCTTTCCGCTCGTCTAGTAGTTATCTGCTGCCACGAACACGTGCTGTGGAGCCTCTCGTGGAGCCCTTCTTGGGGCTTGCACTCTGGTGGGGGGCAGCCATTAGTTGCAAGCATGGGGTCTCTAGAGCGGTGGTCTGACCCAGAACAGGGGAAGTTTCTCTGAGGAAGGCAGTGTCTTGAGGTGACAGTGAACTTCCAGGGAGGGAGCCTCTAGTTTGTTCGTATGATAGATAACCAGTATCTGGCGAGCTGATGCAGAGCGTCAACTGTGCCGTAGGGAATATATCTGTGACTAAATTAGAATCTCTTAATGTTGCCGTGAAGTGAGACAGGTTGCCCATGTTGTGTATCACACAGGTAGGAACCAAGTGCCGTGAGCTCCGGATTCTGAAACTCTTTTTGTCTCATGATTGAGTTAAGACACACGTAGGAAACATTCGTGTTATATATGTTGAATTAAAAACGTCATACCTTGGTTTTATTATGGTATGGCTTTCAGCTACTTGAAGGCACATACTTGGTCTGGTTCACGCCCATATTTCCTGGAACAGTCTTTGAGCTCAGCTCAGTAGGAGCCCAGTGATGTTAAATGAAGACATAAGTGATGCAGTAATTGTAGGGTTTCAAAAATAAGGGGGATAACCAGAGACTTATTTAGAATAATTAAAATGACAAAAGAGCCTGAGAGACTTGAATATGAAGGTAAACCCGAAGTCATTAAGCCCCGTGATTCTGGAACTACAAAGGCTAATAGCAGCAGGGAGCTGAGCGTATTCATTCCTGAAGGGGATTTGTACAAATCAAAGGAATGTTAGCTTCCTTTGCACATTTCCAGAGAATGAGATTTGGGATCTGGGAGACTTGAGTGCCAGCCTCAGGCTAGCCACAAAGTAGTCTTGACCTTGGGCTTTACTTCTCAAAACTTCACTTTCTTCATCTGTAAAATGGGGGTAACAGTGGTGCGGTTAATGAGGAAAATGTAGGTAGAGTGTTAGTACAGCGCCTGGCATGAGAAGTGTGCACTCTTACTTTAAAAGTTCCTGTGCTGTGCATTGTGTGGAAAGAGGCAGACTCTGCCCTAGTGGTATGAGAAATTATCTCTTTCTGATTGGTATATAGAAGCCAGATCTTGGTAAATGATAATGATAAATACCTGAAATAATCAATGCAGAAGATTTTTTAATGGAGGTTATTCTGTTATACTTTTTTCCGTGTTGTGTTCCAAGAAAACAGCAGTGACAGCTGACAAACCATTACATCTTTCATCATGCAGACCTAATTGATAGCAAATGTACATCATGTATTATTCTCCTTACTCTGTCATTTAGAAGTATAATTGATGCAGAAGACTTTAAAAAATTATTCGGGTTCTCATGCATTAAACTAACCTACTTGTAATTTGTAGAAGGAAAGACAGCACAAGAAGTGTCTGCCTAATTTGCTAATTTCTGCTCTTTGGAGAGCCTTTGTAACTTCTTATGTTCTTAATAGAGGTTTACACACGATCGATCGTATCTACTGTAAGAGAAATGCGCTTCTAAACTCATGTCTATTTAAGCTGACGCCCAGTTTAAAGCTACACTACTCTTTTTTATATTCTTAAAACTACTTTGTGATCTTTATGGAATTTTTTCTAAAATTTTGAGAAAATTGGTAATAGCTACAGAAATTTTAAAACCAGAGTTCAAAGTCACCTTCAGCAATTATATTTCTTGGTGTGTATATTTTGTTGGGTATTGTACTGGATTTAGAAGTTAAAGACCTAGTCCTTTTCCTGAGATGATTTACAGTCTGATTAGGTAGAATGAAAAGATACAGAAAAACACTAAAAACAGTCTATGATAGGTGGTTTCAACACAGCCTCAGGTAGATACAGTGAGCGAGCAGTTTCAGAGAAGGCTTCTTGGGACTGGGGTTTGAGTGATTAAGCTTTGAAGAATGACTAGCTTGTAAATAAATTGGGAGACTATTTCAGAAAGAGAAAACAGTGGGCAGAGGAATAGCAGTAGACTATGGGATTGTAGCTCTAGCATGGACAGTGAATGGGGAAATGGCAAAATTTGTGACTAAAGGAGAGTCAGAATAATGGGAAGTAGGCTTAAGCTACATTGGGAAGGACTTTAAATGCTAATTAAAGAAGTTGCACAGTATTCTATCAGGTGGCCCTTGAAGGTTTGGGAGTAGGATGTTGACCAGAATAGTTAGAATATATTTGAGGTAGATGATAGTGTAGTAGAATGGTTAGAAAGGGAATATCAGAAAGTTAAAACCCATTCAGTGTTTAGCTCATTATATTATTTGTATTAAAGCCATATCTGTGGTCTTAAGGATATGGAAGGCTGCTACATGCAGTGGCCTCATCCCTCTACCTCCTTGACAAGAACCACTATTTTGAAGCAACAATAGTTCTTACAAAGCAGTTCTCAGGCAGAATCGTCAGGGACCCAGACCATCTTAAAATCCATGTTAGAGGACTGTCCTGCAGGGCTACTCAATATGTCACAGCTCTGTACATCTTACATTTTGTAGATTCATGGAATACTACTTAAGGTGTTTGTTTTAAACAAAAGTAAACTTCCCAGGCACATTAATAACGTTTTAAAGTTTATTAATTTATTTTGATAGAGAGTGGGGGAGAGTCAGAGAGAGGATCCCAAGCCAGCTCCATGCTGTCAGCATGGAGCCGGATGCAGGGCTTGAACCCAGGAACCATGAGATCATGGCCTGAGCTAAAGTCAGAGGCTTAACTGACTGAGCAACCCAGTGCCCCAAAAGTTTTGTTTAAAACTAGGTAGGAACTTTTATTTATTTATTTATTTTTCAACGTTTATTTATTTTTGGGACAGAGAGAGACAGAGCATGAACGGGGGAGGGGCAGAGAGAGAGGGAGACACAGAATCGGAAACAGGCTCCAGGCTCTGAGCCATCAGCCCAGAGCCCGACGCAGGGCTCGAACTCATGGACCGCGAGATCGTGACCTGGCTGAAGTCGGACGCTTAACCGACTGCGCCACCCAGGCGCCCCTAGGTAGGAACTTTTAAATAAACCAAGATTCTGTGGCAAAAGGTAATTGGGCCCCTTCCTGGACTGCTTATTTAAGTCTATCAAGTGTTTTATAAGAAATGCTATTTTTCCCCCCAGAAGGAGCAGCTGCTAATCGTATCAGGCCACCAGGTTCTGCTCAGGTATGATAGTTTCTCTTTTTCACAAATTATATATGCCAGAACATTAAGTCTGAGGTACCTAGTCCATCACTCTGCCCTTTAGGAAGAATAGTTCTAAAATGCAATCTCAAAACTCTCCACATGGGGGGAAGTCAATGTCTCCTACTTTTATATCATTGGTTTCACTCAACTATGTAAAATATTTTTCTATTAGTAACGAGTATGGCAGTAGGATTTGTGTGTTTAGATAGTGATATTTTCTGTAGTGAACAAAAATATTATACTTGAAACATTTTAGTCTTGAATTAATTTTTCCACCAATGCACTAGATATTATTGTTGTTCTGGGCAGCAACATTCTTCTTTTAATTTTTTTTTTAACGTTTATTTTTGAGAAGAGAGAGACAGAGCAGGAGAGGGGGAGGAGAGAGAAAGAGGGAGACACAGAATCTGAAACAGGCTCTAGGCTCTGAGCTGTCAACACAGAGCCTAATGTGGGGCTCGAACTCACGGACCACGAGATCATGACCTGAGCCGAAGTCAGACGCTTAACCAACTGAGCCACCCAGGCACCCCCCCTTTTATTTTATTTTATTTTATTTTATTTTATTTTATTTTGGGCAGCAACATTCTTCTTAAGAAATACCAAGGGGGGAAAATGTGGTGGAGTGGAAAGGGGACTGGCCTGTGTCCCCAGGACTGCTACATGCATGTAGTTGAGAGACATGGATTTGAATGCTGCCTTGAATGCTTATTACCATTATGACCTCAAACAAGTCATTTAGCCTGTTGGAACCTCAACGTTTCATCAACAAAATGGGGATATTAGTAAGTTCCTTAGATGCATTGTATGATCTAAATAACCCTATTTAGATCTAAATAACCCTATTTACCAAGAACAGTGCTTAGGATATATCAGACACTCCGTACGTGTTAGTTCCCCTCTCTAATGCAGTCCCCTCCCTCTTGCTGCCATATTCCTAAGCACTAGCCAGCAATGCAACCTTAAATCACGTTTCTTCTCTAGACCTCTAAATGTCCTGAACTGTGCCATTAAGTCACACTTTTCATTTATCTTTGCTCAGCCTCACCTTCCATTCCCCTGATATCCCCACTAACCCTTTTCACTGAGAGCACTGAGAACTTCTCTTACCTCTTCCTTTGCTCTCACATCTGGACTTACCTGCATCCACCTCAGTCATTTCTTCTGGTCTTGAGTGCCTTCCTCCCACTGAACACCAATCAGTTCCTGTACTGGATTCCATCATTTCTTGCCACCTCATCTATCGTTTGCTCTCTCATCTGTAATTGTGTTTGCTCTCTCTTGTTATGGGCTTCTCCTACCCAAGACTCTTCTACTTCTAGAAAAAGTCCCTTCCTAGCTCCTTCATCCTTCCTGTAGTTATTTTTCTATTTTCTCTCTCCCAGGTTTAGGAGGAAAAAAATATGTGTGTTATTTCCATATCATTCTTTGCTCAACCCACAGGTCTCTGTTATTGTCACACTACTGAGACTACAATAGTGAAGGACATCTACTCTCTTTTTTCCTCTTGGGATCATCTCATGTACCCTCATGGTTTTTTACTGTCATCTGTATACTGATGCTCTCTTCTCTCTCTGCCATACTTCTTACCTGAGCTGTAGAACCCTACACTCAGTTGTGTGTTGGACATCTCTACCTCAGTATCCCACAGATTCTACAACATGTCCATAAGTGAGCTGGATTAATCATCTCTTTCCCCTCCTTCCCCCTGCTGTGGACACTCCCCTCCCAATAAGCCTGCACTTTCTCCTAAATTCCCTGACTTGGCTGGTGGAACGGCTATCCGTCCCATTAACCAAATATGAAACCTGGGTAAATCCCTGACACAACTTCCTCCTTTCTCCACATCCAGCCCATGACATCTGAGCAGAGGACTGAACGAGGAGGGGCCAGTCCTGTGAAGCTCTGGGAAGATCTAAGGTAGGGATGGCACTCTGCCTTTGCTCTCATGGTATTCTGCTCTGACCAGACTGGCCCAGATTTGCCTGACTCCTGTATGCAGTGATGTTAAGAGGATTATTTATACAGGAAAACTTTTTTAAAAAAATTTTTAATGTGTATTTATTTTTTAGAGGGGGGAGGGGCAGAGAGACAGAATCCAAAGCAGGCTCCAGGCTCTGGAGTGTGAGTGGGGGAGGGGCAGCCTGCTTCAGATGCTGTGATTCTTCAGATTCTCCCTGCTTGCTCGTGCTTGCACTCTCTCTCTCTCAAAATAAATAAATAAACATTTCAAAAAATTTATATAATTTTACATTCCATATAGTTTGTTGTTAAATATGCCCTTCAGTAGAGAATATTCGGTTTTATATCTTGATTTTTTAAGTTAGAAAACTTACAATCTTATATAATCTATATAACTAAAAAGATTGACTTATTTTTATGATCTGTATTTGCACAGGTATGTTAATAGGTTATACAAACACAGAATTAATCACTGGAAGCAAAAGCTTTCTGTTTATCCCAGGCAAACAACTCTTTCCACCAGGAGGGATAAACATAATTTTCTGCGTGGCTCCCTAGCTGCTTGCTGGCACTCGATATGATGTTGAGTACTGTGGTCACATGTGAACATTGGGTTACAAGCACCCTGGCAGGAGAGCCTCTGTTACGTGTATCTTTGTACCGCCCACAATGCTAACCTAGTGGTGTCCTGAACATAAGCCTCCAGTAGATACTGGCTGAATGACTCACTGTTGTCTCTCTGCAGAGGTCAGTTCCTCAGTTCAGTGACGCAGGTTGCATTTCAGCTACTGGGGCTGCAATATCCAGGTGGGGGCTGTGGACTCCTGTAGCCTCTTAATTCTCTTGATCACCCACCGTTTACACAGTCGCCCTTTCAGAACCCTCCTGCCTTCTCCCCCACTGCTTTGGATGGTGATTGCTTCTCTTCTTCCCCTTACTCTGTATCTCTCAGCAATGATTTAGGGCCATTTTTACAGTCTGCTAATTCCCTGAGAATGAGGTGCCTCTTCTGGGAGATACTGCCATCCTCAATGGCACTGCAGATAGGTTTGTGTTGACTCATCTCCAGGCTCTCCAAGTCATTTTGCCCTTAGCCTGATTACAAGGCACCATCTGTTTGTCTCCAGGGCTTAATGAATCGAGGGCTCATAAATATAGCTGATATCTAAATTGAATCCAAATCACAGTGAAGAAAGGATAATAGTCTCCTTCGCCAGAGATGGGTGGGCAATTACTTTTATAGCTTTGGAGAAAAATGGATTATGTAGATACTTCACTCAAATTGGTGGCCCTGAGTCACTGTCCCTATATGCTGATGCTTTTGCTCAGGGACAGTAACTTGCCTGCCCTGTTTCAGGAGAAATAGATTATCTACCTGACCCAAGTTCACTCAGTGAATCAGCAGTCAGATTCTAGCCATCATAGTCCTTCTGCTACTTTGGCTTATGAGGGTCAGAAGAATTTTTCAAGCATGAAGAATATTAAAATAACCATTAAAAAACTGACCTAGTAACCTTGGCCTGTTGCCTAATGCAATATGGCTGATGAGAGGGAAATCCCTTGCAGTGAGATGGCTGAGTGTTAAGTGCACTACAGGTTGTGATTTTTCTAGAAATTGCGGGGAGTGGGGGTGGTGGCTGTTAAACAGTTTTAAAAGATCTATTGCCACTTCTGGTGAATTTGTTCTTACAGTCAGTGGGATCTGGAATCCTTGAGATCCATGGGCTACAGTGAGTGAGTTGTCTCTGGCCTCCCTCTTACCTGCAAGTATTTTACACCAGAAGGAAGCAGAACCACATGCAGCTACCCAAACAGCCTGTGCTACACCAACACATGTGCTCACTGCCTACCATTGCCATACACTTGACATATCCACGTCTCTGATCATTAAAGCAGCTCTATCATGTAAATATTATTATCCCCATTTTATACGTGAGGAACCTGGGGATCAACATAATTAAGTAATTTTCATGGGTTTCCATTGAGGCAGAGGCAGGATTTGAACCCAGTCCTGTTTAGCTCATGTTTCTGCAATGCTTCGTTGCCATTCAGTGCATTTTTTTGCCCTCCCTATGCTTATTCTCTGTCTCCTCTTCTGTTTCCCTTTCAGAATCCTTATCAATCACAAGAGTTTTTTGAAATATAAAAATGTGTGTATATATTATATGTACATATATATTCACAACACATGTACTTTTATATCTATATACCCATATAGATGTAGATATTTATAGACAGATATAAATAGATATATAGATGTATATAACATTAAATGAGGAAAGATATACCCCTCAAATGTTAATGGTTGTTTTATCTGAGTAGTAGAATAATTTGTGATTTTCATTTTTTCTTTGTGTTTTTGTGTCTTTCTCAAACTAGTATTATTGTCACCAGGAAACAGTTTTTTAAATCTTTCACATCCTTTCAAATTCATATGCTACTACCTTTGTGAGTAAAATCTTTCCTGATCTCCACACTAATGCTACTTTCTCTTTTGAAACAGACTCTCTTTCCCCAGCACTTTTTTTTGTAACATTAGTTATTTATTTTGAGAGAGAGAGGGAGGGGGAGTTGCAGAGAGAGAGGAGAGAGAAAACCTCAGGCAGGCTCAAAACTGCCAGCGCAGAACTCAGTGCGGGGCTCAGACCCATGAACTGTGAGCCCATGACCTGAACTGAAATCAAGAGTACGATGCTTAACCGGCAAGAGCCACCCAGGCGCCACTCCCCAGCACTTTTATTGTCTTGGGTCATTTCCAGCATTTTGCTTTGTATTCTGTGTAACCACAGGTCCCCAGGTCCCACAAATTGATAGAGGAAAGGAGTCGGGGAGGCGCAGCTAATGATAAAAAAGGTAACGGAATAGCTGTTGCTCCATTAGGAAAGCTAGAATCTTCCTGCTGTATCCACTATATCCCAGACTTTTTGGTCTCATCCCCTCCCTGTGGTCCTGGCCATGTCTCTTCCACATTGCTGTTCCTATGACCTGAGTCAGCCATGATGCTCACTCTGTGTGTGATGCTGTCCCCTCTCCTTCACTTGGTACCAAGCTAGGCCCCATTATTCCATCAGCCTCACACCATCTAGGCTGTACCTCTACCCGTCATCACTTTGCTGAAGTGGGACCATCTCCCACCCAGGTTGTACCTTTTAAAAGTTATTCTCCTTCCCCTCATTTTCTTAATCTCTGATATAACCTATTGCACGATGACTCATGTTTTCCGGCTCCTTAATACATCCCCTCCCCAGCCTCCTTGCCTAGAAGAACTTGCCCTGAGATTAGGTTGGGAGCCAGAGAAATCTGGCCCAATCCTTCCCTCTCCTTAGGGGCCCCAGATGGAAGGGTGCACAACCACTCTCTTGTCTGGGAGATCGAGCTGTGATTTTGTTCTGTAATTTATTCTGGTGTCTCTCTCCTGGGTGGCTTGTTTGCCTTCATCTCACCAGTCATTCCCTTTCCAGGAAGGCCTGTCTGCAGCAACCAGAACTGGAAGCCTGGTGGCCCGCTTGACATGCCCTGTGCTTGGGTAGGCAAGCAGAAGCAACCCTGCTTGGGCTGTCATCAGTCCACCGTGTCCTCTTCTAAGCCTCTCCATTAACTTCTTGGACAGGAGCTGAGGACCAGTCAACTTTGTACACTCTGTGCACTCTGAAGCAGCTCTTAACATAGGATGGTAAGAGCTCCATAAACTTTTGCAGAAGGAATTACTAAAATCTATTGAATTTTGTGCTCTGCTTTTCTTTCTTAACATTATTGCAGCAAACAATCAAATAAAGATGATTAGTCCCACTTTGTTCTATACTAAGTATATCACACTTATTCTAATTCCATGACTTATTTGAGTTTTAAAACATTGAGATATAATTCATATACTGTAAAATTCACCCCTTTAAAGTTTACAGTTTAGTGGTTTTTTTTTTTTAATGTTTATTCATTTATTTTTAAGGGGGGAGAAAGAGAGAGACACAGCTCAGGGAGGGGTAGAGAGAGGGAGACACAGAGTCCAAAGCAGACTCCAGGCTCAGAGCTGTCAGCACAGAGCCCGACGCAGGGCTCGAACTCACAAACCATGAGATCATGACCTGAGCCGGAGCCAATGCTTAGCTGACTGAGCCACCCAGGTGCCCCTGGCATCCTTTAACTATCACTCCCTCTTGCCCTCTCTACCCCAGAACCCTCCAGTGACTATCAGTCTACCTTCTTTCTCTATAGATTTGCCTGTTCTGGACATTTCATAAAAATGGAATCATGTGACATGGACTTTTGTATCTGGTTTCCTTCACTTAGCATAATGTTTTCAAGGTTCATACATGTAGCATGTATATGTGTTTCATCAGTTTTTGATGGCTAAATAATACTCTGCTGCATGGATATTTCACATTTTTGTTTAGCCATTCATCAATTGATGAACATTTGGATTGTTTCTGCTTTTTGGCTGTTATGAATAGTTTTATTTATTTAACATATACATGTTTTTTTTCTCGAGACCTAATGATTTCAATTTTGGGGGTATATATGCCTTGGTGGATCATATGGTAACTCTATGTTTAACTTTTTAAGGAACTGCCAAATTGTTTTCTAAAGTAGCTGCATCATTTTACATTCCAGAAGCAATGTATGAGGGTTCCAGTTTCTCCACATCTTTACAAACGTGTTATTGTCCATCTTTTTATTATAACTATCCCAGTGGATATGAAGTGGTATCTCATTGTGGTTTTGATTTGTATTTCCCTGATGGCTAATAACGTTGAGTTTCTTTTCATGTGTGCATTGGCCATTTGATATTTTGGTAGAACAGTAGAACATCCTCCAGACTGATACAAAGGGCCTATGTAATCTATTGGCCAGTGAGAAACAGGGCATGCGGTCTATCCAGTATGCTTTGGGGTGTGGCCCAATAGCCCTTGCCTGAGGTGGCACTGGGGACAGTCCTTGTCAGCAGCTGTGGGTCGGAATATTTTAAAGGCAAATGTAATCTTTTTACTATTTCCCAAATACTTCCGGGACCTCTGTGTCCTGGTTTACAGTGGACCTATTATACTGCATCACATGGAGTCCACATTTCCTCCAGCAGAAGGCCCCTGCCCAGGCTAGTGCACCTGCTCCGTGCTCGCCTGGCAGTGTGGGTGGGGAGTGAGTGGACGCGGGCCATACTTGGACAGCTGCGTCAGGTTTAGTGTGTACACCCCAGTTATCTTTCCATAGGTCTGCTCCCCACAGGGCTCTATTTCACATAGCCCAGCTTCCTTTGTGCCTTTGCAGGACCCATGTTGTCAACCCTTTTCATGCTGCCCAGCTGTCAGTAGCCAAATTGGTGAGCATGGGTTCATGCATCAGCACAATCCATAATGCCCTCAACTCTGCCCAGTGACTACTTTGTCTAGTTCCTACTTTAAAACAAAGTACATTGGGTCTAGTTGGATGGCAGAGGAATGCCAAATTGGCAGGTTTCCCTGGCAACTGCCATCAGTATACCCTGTGTCCTCTGAAGGCAAGCCTACCCTTTTCTTTACTTAGCGGAGGGGACACATAATGGCAGCAACTTCTGGAAGTTGGGCTGGATTGACATAAGTGACCAGCCCTAGTAATGAGTGCAGTTCATGAGACAGCAGGCTGGTATTGAAGTGCTCCTCTGCAGTAAGTAAGTGTGCCATTTCTGGAAGGTGCTTACCTGGGCACAGGCACTCTTAGGTTTGTGGAACATGTCCTAAATCCATCCTCCTATTGGCAGAGAGATTCGTATCACCACAGGCAGTTCAGCAGTCAGTCTTTCCCTGTGTGCAGTGCAAGATAGACAGCTAATAGTTGTTTCTCGATGGGACTATACCTTGTTTCTTTTCAATTTCTTGAGGCTTGTTGTATGGCCTAACATGGTCTGTCCATGTTAGAATGCTCCATGTGCACTTGAGAAGAATGTGAATTCTGTTGTCATTGAGTGGAGTGTTCTACTTATCTGAGTTTCTAGTTACTCACTTTTCACCTGATAAAACACTGGTCATCCTTTGAGTTCCAGGTCCAAAGGATCTTGTCGGTCAGGCCTTCCTTAATACATCTCACCACTTAAAACATACAGTTTCCTTGTTTGAACTTCCATCACTCATAACTGTGGTATATGGATAGGCCAACACCATAACGGTGTTATAAATTCCATCAAAAGTCAGTCTTTCTGTACTCGGATGTTACGGGTTTCTTTTGTGCAGGGACCATGTCTTAACTCTATCTCCATATCCCTGAAAACTTAACTTTTTTTTTCCAAGAATTAATTTTTTTTCTTCTAAAGAAACGGAGGCAATAAATCATAAAAATATCCTTGAAAAAACAGTCTTTGAAAATAACTTTTCATCTCTTCCAGGGGAGGAAAATCCATCACCTGGTTAGCACCAGGTGGTATCAGTAGTTGATTGATGTTTTTCTTTTTTTTTTCTTGATTTTTTAAAATTTACATCCAAGTTAGTTAGCATATAGTGCAACATTGATTTCAGGAGTAGATTCCTTAATGCCCCTTAGCCGTTTAACCCATCCCCCCTCTCACAACCCCTCCAGTAGCCCTCTGTTTGTTCTCCACATTTAAGAGTCTCTTATGTTTTTTTTTTTGTTTTTTGTTTTTAATTTTTTTTCCAACGTTTTTTATTTATTTTTGGGACAGAGAGAAACAGAGCATGAACGGGGGAGGGGCAGAGAGAGAGGGAGACACAGAAT